AATACACATTTTTCTCGATAAGAGTAGGCTTAATATTTGGACTCCCATGTTATTTTGTTTGCTGATGATTTCATCCAGCTCCATGGTTTATTCTCGAGACATGGACAAATGGGCTTGCTGTCTCCAAACCCCTCCCTCTTATCTTTCTTTCTTTCTCTTACTCAGTCATGTACAAGACATTTGATCCTCAAGAACGTCCTCCTTCTCCATGCACTGATATTGAGGAGGATGATGACGACGACAATGACGATGAGATTCTGAACCATCCTCAGATTGATCAACTTAGACATTTGTTGAACAAATTGTCTCTCGATGACTTGGACAGTGTTTATGTGATTAACACCTCATTTGATCCAGATCTATCTGCCAATCGCAAGTTCCGAGGCCCAAGAAAGGATCGCATGGCCAATTACAGGTTCACTGAGGAGCTCAGGTCCCAAGCCGGCAGCCACGCTCGGGCAACAAGCATAGCCGATTTGGAGACAAAGGTATGGCAACTCAGCGATTTTGTTCCTGCAACTAACTCTTATCAATACATCCTTCAGCTGGTGTGCCTTCTGTCAACTGGGCGCAAGCCGAATGTCGAGTCCATGATATCTTTTGATCCGGTTATCCTTGAAAAGTGAGTGCAAGCCAACTATGTTTCAGTGAGTTTCCAATTTTTATACTTCTGTAGCAAGATTTTACACGTCAAGGACAAAAACGGAGGTCTTCTCCTCCTATATGTACCCAACATGAAAGAGGAGATGCGAGAGACTCTGCTCGACCGCGTTGAATGTGTGTGGCCAGACCTAGTAAAGAACGTCGATACAGAAAATGAAGGCATGGACCATCTCTTCGACTGCCTACATTTTTCAATGTATAATTGGAATACGACTCTTGTGCGTGGTTCAAGGTTTTACTTATAATCTCTGATTTTATTCTCTCAGGGAACTCAAGCACCAAGGGACGTCAGTATCATGAAACTAAGGAAGCTAGATGTAGCAAGGGCTCCGGATGTCCATCAGTATATTCCTCGAGCCTCAAAGGAGTTAATTGACCACTGCGAAGAATACAATGTACTGGCAGAAGCTTTCGCGGACGTTTTTGTGTGGCAATCTGAAATCGTATGTTGCTTCTTTCCTTTTCATCATCCCCTCTGATAAAATATGTTCAGATGAAGCACTTATTGCCAGAAAAGTTCTCCTTGCTCCAGGAGTGGATCGACGCATTTCCAGAAAATGAAGTTTCCCCTGT